TGTTTTAAAAAAATATATATATATATATATATATATATATATATATATACAGTAGCTACGAAACCAATAAACTATGAAAATAGTACCGTCTAGTTTCTTACTCTTAGGCCCGATTGCACAAGTGAAGCTTAAAACTCTCTGTCTCTCTCTCTCTTTTTTGCTTTAAAACGAGATAGAGAGAGTTTTCTTAAAATCAAAGTAACGTTGGTGCAACCGGACCTTAATCACTTAAATTTTAACAGTCACGCAAACTTCTATTAACGCTAACCGTCTTTAATAGTATTTCGTCAGTGTCAGTGTATAAAATATTTTTTATAAGATATACTATTGCAGTAGGTGATTATTATTTCTGAGGGAAGAAAATTGAGAATGATACAAATAAATACTAACCCAAAATTTTTTAAACAAAATTTCATGCATTTAAATATTACAAAATTACAACTATATGAAGAATTGAAACAATTATAATTTACGCTACTGTCATTGCCAGGATGCTTTTTCCTTTTTCAGAGATTGTAAACGTTTCAATGTGCGATATTAACTTTCTCAAGGAGAATAAATGTGATCAAAAGCAATTATAATAATAAATCGGCGGTAGATACACATAATAAAAGACACCGCACTATGTTTTTGCGCAGTCCATGCATTCTATCTCGTGGAATATAAAAAAAGTTGCCTACGCGATTCTTTCATGGTCGATGAATAAACTTTATAACATCATTGTGCAAAGTACTACGATAATTTGCCTCGATAACCATAATAAAGTTGATTTCTTTTTTACTCCTCTCTCTATTTCCTTCCGCTGTATTTTTAACTCAGCATTAATTCTTCTCTCTTACTAGGTTCCACTTCCCTGGCCCTTATATCCTTCAATGCTCCGCGATGTGAATGGTTTAGCGGAATTTATTTCCGCTCGATTAATTTCAGGCGGAGGAACAGCAGCATCGCGGTCACTGCGAAGCCGTTCAAGATGACGAGGACAAAAAAGCGGAAATCTACGATAATCACGTGACTGGAGATTTCCTTATTGAGGCTAGGGAACAGGCCGAGAGCACAAGCTATTGACGAACCGATATAAGGGCATGACGAATTGAAAGGCTCAGTTGCAACAAATGAAGGAGATACATGAATATGAGCAGAAGAATTACGCTTTAACATATCAACAATTTTATCAATCTACACTGATCTAAAAAAAAATTTAAATCTTAATATACATTTTTTCGATAATAATGTTAACATTTACTTATAGTAAATAAATATTTACTAAAAAAATGATAGTCAAATCAAATTAATGGTACTTATACCAAATAAATGTATGTTTACATTTAATAAATATTTAGTTAATATGTTTAAATATTTATTAAAATTTAATACACACACATACACACACACATTTTTTCAGTATACCTCTTTTTAACTATTCAATATAATGGAAAATGTTAAAAAGGATTCCGATTTCGAGTAAAAATTTTGCAAATCAGATATTAATTATGCATATAATCATCTTGTAAGTGTCAACAGTACACAAAGACTGTATATGCGTCATTGATTATAATTGATTTCACGGCTGATTCATTACACGTATTATTAATGTACATGTGTTTAAAATAAAGTTTCTTTATTTGATGTATTTCAGATATTTATCGGCTCTTTTAAATCTACACAGAGCTATTAATTTTAAGAATATAAGAAAACTTGTTTTTTACAGAAAATTAAATTGGAAGAGAAAAGCCTCAAAGAGTCTTGGGCTCTCTTAATGGATTCGCATCTTCAAGCCGCATATTTGCATGATCACGAATTAAATAAAAAAATCGTAAGATCTTAAAATAATTTCATATTTAATTTTCATCTTTAAATATCATTAAATATATTTTATATAACAAGATTATTTTTAATGACATATATTTTGAATAAAAACCGTGATTTTTTTAACTTGCTCCTTTAAAAATTCTTCGATATTAATGAATTCTTTTATATTTCAGTACACGTAAATAACACTTTAAATGCTACATTGTATTTGTATTCTTCTAGGGAGCTCAATAAGAAAATTGTGGAGAAGAATTTGCGACTTGCTGAGCAACAGAAGCAACATCAGAAATACCTTAACCATTTCGTTTATAAGCATCAACCGATAGCCGACTTCTATGAGCAGTTTAATAAAGGAACGGTGAATGCAATCGCAATTTTTGCATGCAATGTACTTTTTAAAGGGAGAAGAATCAATGTAACATGTAAAAGTCGCTGTACAGACTTTTTCATAACGCATTATAAATGATGTACAAGCGAATCGACCAATTAAAATTCTGCTTTTCTGTAAAATGGTTGGAAAGAAAGGATTTTGATTGGTTGATTTGCTTATGCACTATGCATTATGCGTTAAAAAAATTTCAAATAAGTAAAAAATAATTTCATCGATTTCTGTCTTTCTCTTTTGTAGGTTTATTCACTAAATTCTACCATAACGACGGAGATGTGCATATTATAGACTTTTCAGTTATTACAATTAAATACTTTTTATATAAATACTTTTATAGTTGTACAAAAATCATAATTAATAAAATATATTTTAATTTATAAATTAAAATTGAATTTATCACGATTAATAAAAAAAGATTATTTTAATATTATTGTGATATTATCCAATGTCGATAATGTAAAAATGTGTTGCTCTATTGATATTCAATCCCTGTCGATAAGTTATCATATTTGATAAATTAGAATTTATACAGATTTTGATGACCAATCAATAAAAATGTACAATATTGATATCATTAAATTTATGATATCATAATAAATCTCGTAAATATGCGCAAATTTAGTCATAAAAATACAATGCAAAGCTAGAAATTAGGAACATTCTTGCAGAATAAGACAAGTGATATATATTTCAATTGATTTTAGTTGAATCATCTTAACATGATAAGATTATGTTACACGTATGGCGTCCTCGTCTCTTTGATTGTCAAGTAGAGCTTAATACTGCATCACAGATGCAGTATTTATATTCATATTTATATATTACTTTGTAAAATTTATATTAAATATCCTAGAATATTTTATAATTGATTATTTCAACATAGTGTCCTCATTAGATTTACATGTACATGTAATTTAAATTTTTTGTGCATTTACCTAAATTATAATATCGTAAACATACTATATCTATAATTATCGATGCTTATATAATAAAAAATACCAAAATACTTTGCCGTAAACTTTGCAAATCTTAAAACATAGTAAATGAAATAGTTTTTATATTATGTATGGATATTCTCTAAATAGAAAAAATCTTTTAGACTAACTATTTACGTTCCAAATTTTCACTGTCTAAATTTCCACTAAAACATGTAAAGATAATTAATCTCTCCAAGAAAATATTATAACAGGCTAAATCAAGAGAGCGCGAGCTGTTGTAGCGGACAACGCACTGGACACCTATCATGGAACAAAAACGGAATGGATTCCAATTGGAATTATTCAATTATTCCCTAGATTTTTATTGTGTTTTCTGGGGAAAATGAAATAATTTCGATCGGAATCCGACTTTGTTCCATGATAGGTTTGCTATACTAGAGATCCCAGGTTCGATTCCTGGCAGAATCGAAAAATTTGCGTACGCTCGTAGCTCCTCTTGAAAAATAATGACAAACCACTGAGTAGTATACTTGCCCAGGAAACCCTCTTTATCGTTATTAAAGGGCTCGCACAGCTGTTTCGAATCGTTACTCGAACACAGGCACTCTTTGTACGCGCCGTATTTAATGGTATCGTCCTGTAGGACTGGCAGAGATTGCAGCATTGTCCTCGTCTTCTCACCTTCCCCCGACAAAATGCTCGTGGAAACATTAAAACAAGGTCAAACTTAGCATTATCATCGATAGTTTATCGCTTCTGATGATAGTTAATATCTTTCGTTTTTCACCGCCATTGGCATGAGAAATTTTTTTAATTTATAGAAATATATGAATTTCTGTTTTTTGTCCGGCGAGCTTGTATGATTTCTCATGTTTTACCTCTTTTTTAAAATAGTCCCGCATATTTTCCGCATAAATTTTTCTCTAAAAATAATCACAAACCGACAGTTACAATTTTCTTCTATAAGATGTAAAATAATAGAATAATAATAATGTTTCAAATCTATCTAGAGAATCTTTTATAAGATTTTTGAAAAGTTAATTTTGCTTCCTAATTTCTTCATAACGCTAGAAAAAATGAAAAATACAAAAGGATTCTACACGGTAAAAATATTTTGCATTTGTTTTGATGTGCAAGTACAGTTTTGTAGTATAAAGGAGAATGTTAAAAGAGGCCGATTTTTGCCCATGAAGGTATAAAATTATTTTTAATGATGTATATATTTTGAAAAAAAATCATGATTTTTTTTAACTTGCTCCTTTAAAAATTCTTCGATAATAATGAATTCTTTTATATTTACACACGCACACTAATTATAAATTCAATTTTAATTTATAAATTAAAATATATTTTATTAATTATAATTTTGTTACAACTATATATATGTATATAAAGTATTTGTAGATAACTGAAAAGTCTATGCACATCTACTCCATCGGTGTAGTAGGATTTGATGACTCGATTTACAAAAAAAAGACTGAAATCTTCAAAATTATTTTTTATATTTGAAATTTTTTAACGCATAACATTATAGTGCAACAGCATGCATTATAGTGCATAAGAAACAACCAATCAGAATTCTTCGTTTCCGATTATTTAACGGATAAGAAGAATTTTGATTGGTCGATTTTCTTATACATCATGCATCTTGCGTTATGCAAAAGTCTGTACTGTGACCATTACATTGATCTTTCTCTCTTTAAAAAGTACATTTTGCACGCAAAAATTGCATTCAACGTGTTCCTTTATTAAATTGCTCATAGAAGTCAGGTGTTGGTTGATGTTTAAATAGACGAGTGGTTTCAGATATTCTTGATGTTGCTTCTGTTGCTCAGCAAGCCGCAAATTCTCCTCCGCAATTTTCTTATTAAGTTCTCTAGAAGAATATAAATAAAATGTAGCATTTAACGTGTTATTTACGTATACAAATATTGAATATATAAAAATTGATAACCATCGAAGAATTTTTAAAGGAGCAAGTTAAAAAAATCACGGTTTTTTTCAACATATACATTATTAAATATAATCTCGTTATATGAAATACACTCAAATATTTTTTTAAAATGATATTTAAATAAAAAAAAATAAATACGAAATTATTTTAGGATCTTACGATTTTTTTTGATTTAACTCGCGATCATAGGAGCATGCGGCTTGAAGGTGCGAATCCATTAAGCGATCCCAAGTCTCGTTGATACGTTTCTCTTCCAATTTCATTTTCTGTAAAAAACGAATTTCCATGCATTTTTAAAATTAATAATTCTGTGTAGATTTATAAGAATCGATGCGATGAATATTTGAAATACATCATTGCATCAAATAAAAAAACTTTATTTTAAACATATGTATATTAATAATGCGTGTAACTATGAGTCAGCCGTGAAATCAAATATAATCAATGACGCATACACAATTTTTATCTACTATTAGAGTATAATGTTATTTACAATACGATTATATATATAAATTATATCTGATTTACAAAATTTTACTCGAATTGGTTCTTTTTTAACTTCTTCCATTATATTGAACAGGTAAAAGAAATTACACTAAAAAAAATGTGTGTGTGTGTGTGTGTGTGTGTGTGTTATAATAAATTTTAATAAATATTTATTTGAATAGTACTTACTAAATAGAAACGTACATTTATTTGATACAAGAACCATTAATTTGATTCAATTATTTCTTTAATAAATATTTATTTACTAAAATAAATATATGTTAATACTATTGAAAATGTGTATATTAAAATTAAAATTTTTTTCTCAGTGTAGATTGAAAGGATTGTTGATACGTTCAAGCGTAATTCCTCCGCTCATACTAACATGTATCTCCTCCATTTGTTGCAACTGAGCATCTTTGAAGACCTTCAACTCGTCTGTAGTCATGCCCTTGTATCGGTTCGTCAACGGCTTGTGCGGACCGCGGGTGCTCTCGGCCTGTTCCCTAGCCTCGGTGAGGAAATCTCCAGTCACGTGATTATAGATTTCCGCTTTATTGTCCTCGTCATCTTGAACGGCTTCGCAGTGACGGCGTTGCTGCTGCTCCTCGGCCTGCAATCGAGTGGAAATAAATTCCGCGAAACCATCGCGAAGTATTGAAGGATAAGGGCCAGGGAAGCGAAGGAAGAGGGATTAATGCTGAGTTAAAATATAATGGGAAAAAGTAGAGAGAGGAATAAAAAAGAAATCAACGGCAACTTTATTGTGGCAAATTATCGGGACAAATTATCATAGCACTTTGCACGATGATGTCATGAAGTTTATTCATCGATTACGAGAGAATCGCGTAGGCGACTTTTATATCCCGCGACGAGATAAAATACATATGGACTGCGCAAAAATGTAGCGCGATGTTTTTTATTACGTTGTATCTGCGATTGGTTTATTATTATAAACGCTTTTTGATTATATTTATTCTCTGTGAGAAAGTTAATATCACAGAAACGTTTACAACTTCTGAAAAAAGGAAAAAGCATTCTGGCAACGACAGGCGTATATAGTATAATTGTTTCAATTCTGTAGTTGTAGTTTTGTAATATTTAAATGCATGAAATATTGTTTAAAAAATTTCGGGTTAGTATTTATTTGTATCATTCAATAGAATTTTTTTTACTTGGAAATAGTCATCTAAAAATAAAAAATATTGTATGTACTAAGAAAACGATCTGGTTGGATTAAATAGTCATTCTGGTGGAAAATGGATGAATCAAAACTTTCTTGAAAATATTAGAATTTTAGTTGAGATAATTAGAATTTTGATCGATATACTTATTCTGATAAAAATAAGAATTCTAGTAGACTTTATCAGAAATATTATTTAATCAGAATTCCGGTTATTTCAACTAAAATTATAATAACCGAGCAATTCTTTTAACCATCAATTTTTTTCAATGCATTAGTGTTAAATGATGCTTACAATTTTTGATTTGAATTTCTAACATATTTGAGTGTCAGTTTAATGTAATTATTATCTATAAAATATAATATATATTTTGTATTAAATTGATATTTAATATCTTAGTGTTAAAATAGCACAATTTATGAGTAAGTAAACAAATACATAAAAATAATATAATTTTAATAAAAATTCTAAGATAAATGAATAATACCTCTTAATTTTACATATTATAAATGTTAGTTTTATTGAAAAATATATTTTATCAGAATTTGTTTCCAAATGTTGTATTTTGTGTATTAACATTTACGTGAAATTTGTACTATTTTATTTTAATATATTCATTTTGTTTTAAATTAACATAAAAATTTGGTATATTATTGATTGTATTTATAATTTATTAATATTTGAGATTAATATGAACAAGGTTTACTCTCAATATTTTATAAAAAAGGAAAAATAAAAAAATAGGTTCAGATTCTCGGCCAATAAACAAAGGTATTGTGACTGAGCTTGATATTCTCTTTGTTGGAGTGTAAAAAATATCTTTAACCCCGGATTAAACAGATTTAGATTTTTCTGTGATATAGTATGTATTTCATATGTATTAGTGCGGAATTTTCCTAAAAGAAAAACAACCGAGACAAAAAAGAAGAACAAACCCTGATACATCTTCTTAATGTTACATATACATATTAAGAAGATTGAAATTGGAAACAAATAGATGGGTAGCACATGCTCTAATATGTCAACACCATCATGTCAAATGTAACAACGCTCGGATCGATCGCTTCATTAGATATAAGTGGGCGCGTATTCAAATATAGACGTGTTCTTATCTTCTATCCGACACGATCAAGGCGCGTTAGTCGACTAAAAAAAACTCCAGTCTTTCCACGAAGTGGCTTAATAAAAAAACGTTACCCCTTTCGAACATCCATCTTACTCGCCGGACCCGGTTTTCATTCGCCTTCTACCTCCGCCCAGAGATCAAATCGGTCAAAGGAATCCATTTTTTGTCGGTAGAAGACGCGAAAGCAAAAGCGGCGGAGTCCCTAGAATGCGAAATAACAGCAACTGCTGCTGCACATTGATTAGGAATGAAACCGGAATTATTTTGAAGATCGTACAATTGATTTTATCTGGTTTATTAAAAAAAAATGAGTCTTCTTTCTTGCATTGGATCTAGATCAACTTAAAATTGACGTCAAAATCCATAATACAGTTACTGATTTGTGAAACCTAGTTAATTTATGTTAATTAAAAAGCACTAAGTATATATAATTTCATAGAACCAAAATAACATAAATCGTATAAAAATAATAATAAATATTAAGTAATTTTTAAAAATATACTAAATTATCTATAATATATTTTTAAAAATTTGCTAGTATATATGACATATACTGTACGGAAAAAATAATGTTATTAAAATATTTAAAAATTTAGCTAGATATAGATCTGAAAATAGTTATGTTGAACCTAAATAATTATATTGAATGATGAAGCTGATGCTAAAATGTGTCAAAATTCTTTGTAGCATTATCATCAATCTTAAGTGATTCCTATATAATTATTTTGAGATAGTCTATAATTATTTTTAGATCTGTATCTGGTCTAATTTTTACGTGCTTCAGCAAAATCATTCTTTTCGTGTAAAAATATTAAAAAATATTAAAGGATACTATAATTGTATTTTAATAAGAATGAAAAAAGAGAGAAAAAAATAAAGATCTTTGCAGATAGAAAATTTGCAGATATAATATAAAGAAAATTAAATTGTTTGACATTGTTGACAAAGAGATTTATATATAGTTGAATGAGTCCAAGAGACTCATCGGTCAATTGCAGATTAACTCTATATGACGCATGTTTTTTAAACATAATTACTTGCGTGGGATGTTTCTGTCATCCCAACATTGTATCTCAATTTTCATTATTCTCTTTGATAATTTACAATATTAAATGGAAATTAATAATATTTCACCCTTTAGATAAAGATAAATGAAAATAATTTTTTATAAATTGTAAAATAATTTGCATTAAATGTAATAATGTGTATAAATAGCATTAATACATTTAGTGGATTTATAAGGTTGAGTCCTTAGACATCCCACGCGAGTAATGAAGGGTTAAAGGTGCAAACAGAGAAGATTCCTTGTACCAGAGCGCGATTAAATATCGCTGTGGCTTCGTTCAACAAAAAAACGCGGCCAGTCGTGCCCACTGCGCCGCTCGGTTGCCCCTGGCGAGGACTCCTTCCTTATAGGCATCCTCGTCGTCTTGTCGCGCCTTCTCTGCCGCTCTGCGTTCCTCCTTTTGTTTCTGTATCCACCAACGCATCTGCTCTTTCTGCGCTTTCAATCGCTCGAGAAAATTGCGATCCTCGCCCTCGAACCTGCGGCAGCCGTAATATTTCATCGTTTCTTTTCTCTTCCGCGACGTTACGCTCATTACCATTGCGCCAGGGTGAGCAGGCTGTGGGGTAAATTATTATCCGCGCGAAGATCTTTTACAATGAACACGGAGAGGAAAAATATTGTTATACCGTACTCATGATAGCCGTGGTTTACAGACTGTATATAGAAATGAATCCTTTTCACGATAGCTTTGGCACTTTAACGTTATATACAAGATTCTTAATACACACGATGGATCATTCATTTCTTGCGTATAATATATATATGTACATTTACTTAAATCTTAATGCATCTTTCTTTAATAGTATCAAGCAAACATTATTTACAGTGAATAAATATTTACTGAATAAAAAAAATAATAGTTAAATTAAATTAATAGTTATTGTATTAAATAAATATATTTACTAAATATACATTTATATTTAATAAATACTTAAAACTATTCAAGCAAATAATTATTAAAAAATTTAATTCTTTTCTAGTGTAATTTTTGCACACTTTTGAAACTATACAGAAATTAATAAGTAATTCTTACATATACTTTAACATTTTTAGAAAGTATTTGTAAGGCTATGCATTTAAAAAAAAGGATAGAGACATTATTTAGTATTTAGATGAAAATTAATCCAGACATAAACGATCAATCGTAATAAATTATTAGAAAATCATCGCGTGTACTAAGCGTTATTAAAGACGAAACATCGAGAATGCAAGAAACAGAATAAACGAGTTTCACAAGCACGTTCTTTTATCTTCTTCTGGAAAGTCCGAGATAAATCTCTCCGAAGCTTTTCTCCCGGTTGCACCATTATATTGTTGGCGGTATTAATCAAGCTATTTACGCACTTCTGAGCGGACGCTACTCCCATGTTGTCGCCATTGTCGTCCACGCATATAGGAAGCGATTTCTTTAATGCCTCGGGGTCATACAAATCGTAATCTCGCCGGTCCTCCGGTCGCTGATGGAAACGTCGGAAGAAATTGATCTCCTTGTTTATCTTTCGCCGCTCCTGCAAACAGAGAAGCGGAGTTATTTCGCTCTCTCGATCGATAAAGTTTTTAATTCAACGACACGTGTGACACCGAAATCACCGAGTATCAGCTCGAGTATCGAACGGACATTCCCGGTGTAATTATCGTCATTGACAGCACTCAATTACCTCCTCCTGCTGTCTCTCCAAATACGCGGCGTGCTCGCTGCTGCGAACGAGAGCCTCAGCCAATTGACATTCTTGCGCTCGTTTCCACTCGCGCTGCTGCTTCTTCTCCTCGACTTGCCTATCCAAGAACTCCTTGTCTATCTGCAAATGTCAGGGAAACAATCCGTGCGAATCCTATTGCATTGAATCAAACAACTTCCCAGACATTAGATCAATCAAGTAGTGTGTAATGTACCATCGAATGATGTTTGTGGCATTTATGAGATATTAAGGAAAATGTATGAATAGAAATCAATTTAATCAAGCGTGGGTTGTAACAAATTTAAATAAATATTAGTACGAAGTATTTTTTTTTAATTAATTAGGACGTAAGTTAATAGAACGACTAAATTAAGAATTAAAGTTTATGCGATCAGAATAAGATATGAAAGTTTAATAGTGAATTCGGTCATTCGCATTGGATAGTGTACAGCTTCATACATAATAAAAAATTTTGTATTTGTGTTAAGAACAATTCATTTCCATCTTAAAAAATTTCGTGTTGAATTTTTAATATATTCGAATGTTAATTTTTAACATAACTGTAGTGAGCAACTTATATTATTTATTTGTTTTGTATCAAATTGATATTTAATATTTCTTATTTTTAAAATAATATAATTTATAAATAAATAAATATATACATATATATATATAATAAATAAACTAAGATAAACAAATAAAATAAATGTTAATTTTATCGAAAAAATTTATTTTAACAGCTTATTTACAAATGACAACGCGATTATTTATTCACATATTATTTTTGTTTATTTTTGTTAATTTTTAACATATTCATTTCGTGTCAAATTAACAAAAAATTTGGGTGGATTGTTTGATATGAAATGTATTTTTAACAAAATTTTTCAACTATATATAAAATATTTAAATACAGTGACATAATATAATCAGCTCTGATGATAATACATGTATATTCTAAATATGACATCATTATTAGATATTTAATAGTTCAAAACATTTGTATGCTTTTACATTTAACTTTATTAATTTTATGTATAGTAGCTTTTAGTATGCATTAATTTATTATAATGCAAGTGATCGAATTCACTATACTAATACTAAACGTAAAAGAATAATCACGGGACTGAATTTCTATTTAAAAAAAAATTTATTATTTAAATTAAAGAAAAGCAGCAAAATATACAAAATAAAATTAATTTGATCGAAAATGGATTATAACAATGTTAATATATATTAGTACAAAGTATTTTCTTAATTAATCAGAAAGGTGATAAAATTAAAAATTAAAATTAATTCGATTGAAATAAAATGAATTGTTGATAAAATCGGGACCGAATTCCTACCCCAATTTTCCTAATGCGAGGGTTAAAGATGCGTAATTTCCTCGCTTCTTCGTTTTGTCGTTTGCGTTCTATAGATGCGGCGAGCTTGAGATCCTCCGGAGTAGCGCGGTGTTCGAACTTAAACATTTTGGATATTTTTTGAGATAAAAATCTAAGAGGTGTGGTTTCTTTTTACGATCTCTTTTTTATGAGATTACACGTGTGAGACCGAAAACGTGAATCTATTCGGACTTTTCAGCTTGGAATCGAAATCGAAACTGAAGTGTCTGAAGTTTCGCAGTCGAGTTTTGTTACCATGGTGAGTTTTAGGAGGGTTGTACATAGAGTCGATAAATTCCAACTGCACAGTAATCATTAAGGGGAACGACAAAAGCGCCGTATTGCAGCACACACATTTTGTCCAATTAAGATTCAAAATTAGTTAGTCTAGCGAAATGTTCGATCGAACGGAATTAATTGTTATTTTAGGAGAGAAAACTGAACCATAACGAGTTTATGAAGTGAAGCGTAAAATACTCGATAATATAATTAACACACCAATTTTATCGTAATTTTATGCAGGACATGTTACAGAATTGGCAAATGCCAATGATGCTTCAAAGGAATCATTAAAAAATGTAAATGATATACATAGGATAAACCATATAAAGTATGATGACAAAAAATATGGAAGATATGAAAAACATTTTATATAGAAGGGAACAATTTCGAGAGGGATGTTTTTTAGTTACGTTATTTTCTTTCTAGATGGAGGCAGCAAAAAAATAAGAAGATCACCTTTATTTTTTAAAATGGAATTGATGAATTGATTGGTGTACAGAAAATACATAGTTGCTTACTTAAAAAATTATACATATTGTATTTTTTTAAAGCAACTATGTATTTTTTTACACCAATTGATTCATCTCAGTATTCCGTTTAAAAAAGTATTTACAATTATTAGAAAAATTAATAGTTTACGTGATAATTAAAATTTCATTATGTGCTAGAATGAAGTACAAAATATTTCGTAAACTGTAAGTTCTTGATATCTCTATCTTACTGTTATATACAGAATAATATATTAAAGAAATTATTTTATGTAAAAAAATCATATATTTCTATTTTAAAAAGTGATGGCTTTCATATCTTTTTGGCGTCTCCACTTAAAAATAATAACGTGATCAAAATACATCCCTCGAAACCGTTTCACTTTGAAACGTTTTTTCGCATCTTCCTATTTTTTGAATTATTGACTTGTCACATTTTACGCTAGCCACCTTATATACAAGATGTTGTATGTGGGCGTAACTTCAAAAATGAAGGATATAAAAATAATACAAAAAATTCATAATAAATATTTGTTCAACCTGTGAACTTATTGGCGTAGCAGATTCTGCCAAGATATTTACTCAATTTAAGTTAAAACGTTTTATTATTAACTAAAGACAGAAATATGTCAAAATATTATGCTAATTCGGTTTATAACGAGAATTAATAAATCACGAAATCTATACATAATTTGGAAATATAAAGTCAGATAATACGTATATTTGTATAATTTTTTTGTCATTTTTGTGTTATTTATTTCTGAAATTATTATTTATTTCTGAAATTATGCCCACATGTTATGAGAGAGAAACACCATTTATATAAATATAAATAATTTTTTAAAATCACTCCACAAAAGCGCTTCAAGCTTCGACAACGTTTAAAAAAAAATGCGCCTCTGCGAGCGAATATGTATCGTTTTCTGGATTTATTAAATTCCTCTTCGTTTGACTGGCACTTCTCTTTGACGGTTTTTTTCAGTCCGCCTATATTCGTTCATAATTATTGTATGATCAATACACGGTGATTCGAATGTTGCTGTCGCGCGAGTTCGACGTTTGACTTCGACCACACCGATTATCAAACCGACAGAATAAAATAAAATAAAGAGAATTGATAATTATTCAGCTGGTAAAGAGACATCCGTATGCGTGTGTCACGTGAGGAGTAGCTGTCGATGGTATAAACATGTATACGGTATCATTATCTGTTGGTTTCGTGAAATCCATCTTACTCTCTTCCGTTACACGCATGCTGTGTCGATTCAATTTGTCATCATATTATTGTGGTGATATGCACGATAAGCAAGGGAAGGGAGGACGTCGATTAAACATTTTAATTGGGTTAGCCGTATCTTTGCCTTCGATAAAACGCCTCGCAGCTCTCACGAGGCCAGAAGCCGTGAGGTCGTATAACCCCTGTGGCAGTTATTTGCTTAGAAAGAGCGAAGCAGACGGTAGAACGGTAGAATCATTTTTTTATAATTAATAATTCCTGATTAAGTATCGATCGAACTGCGTCGTATTTTAGTGGAAATATTTTGACTCTGAAAGAGTTCGAATTGTGTCACTAGAGAAAATTTATTCAATTGATAATTCTACACTTGTATTATTACATTGTTAAATTCATAATGTCAAATTGTATTCAATTTGAATCATCATTTTTAATCATTTCTATACATCGCCATTGCTTTTACTCAAAATATGTCGGTTCATATTAATTATTATTATATTATATTTATAATTTAACTAAAACAATGGAGCTAATCAATTTAATTAAAAAAATATATATTAATTTGACCTACATTCAGTTTATTGCTTTTACTAAGTGCACATATTAATATGAATGTTGTTTATTTTGAAACTAAACAATTAAATCATATAGTTGAATTGATTTACATTTTGATACACATGGAGGTTAAAAATAATAAAATGTTATTCGACCTAAAGAACTAGGTTACCATTATTCCTTTGATATCCAACGGTGTATAAGAATTTATTTTTTAATAAATTTTTATCGTTTTTTTTTGCTTTTTTAAAATTAATAATGATTTTTGTTCTTATTTGTTTTTCTAGAAAAGATATATAGCGCATGATTTCTAAAGTCAAATCTATAATTTAAATCTATAATTTCTGTTAAAATTTAGTATATTATAATAGACATCTTTAAATCATAAAATAAAATGCAAGATATTTGCTGTATATTAACATATTTATCGAGATAGATGGCTTAATAAACTTGCTTGTTCATGACATAAATGAAAGAACTGAAAAAAATATTGGCAGAAAAACATGATTATAATAATAAAACTATTAAAAGAAAATAACGCGGTTTCACATCTACAGACTACAGTACACATTATTTGCAAGTTGAAGAAACTAAGTTAAAAAAGAATAACAATGGTAAATATTATTGTATTAGTGAATATTAGTGTTTTATCTTTCTTTAGTCGCGCATAATACGTTTTCCAAGCAGAACAACAGGTCACGATAAAATGAAATCAAAATGAAATTAAAATGAATTTTGAAGTGTCTTTTAATAATCATTTTAAAGCCATTTTCATGCCGTTTTGATCATAATGAGTTTTTGTTCTGCTTAAGTTATATACATGTGTGTGTGTGTGTGTGTGTGTGTGTGTGTGTGTGTGTGTGTGTGTGTATATATATATATACATGAATTATATTATATTATACATATATCGTATGTATAAAGATATGATTTTACAATGAATTAATCAAAATTACAAAATTTTAAATCTGATATTTAGAATGCGTATTTTATAAATGCTAGAAATATTTGAGTTAAATAATTCTATTTAGAGGATATTAAGGTTCGATTATTTAGATTCATTATCGTCTATTTATTATTGAAATACACAATGATCGACGAATATTTTAAAACTAAAATCAAATGTGTCATATGCTCAAATACTATTTGAATTTATAAGCAATTCAGATTCAAACAGAAAACTTATTCTATTGCTAAGAAAAGTAATTATTTAATTTTTTCTTGTAAATAACAATTTTTAACAGAGAATATTTATTATAATTTTCTTGGTAATAGTCTTAAAATATATTTAATACATTTAATATACAAATTTTAGAAAAAATTTGTTATTATGTACTTAAAACACAAAATTTATTTTCTTTTAAAGAATACTATAATTTGATTGAAGAAACGATTTTATATAACAAGCGAATCAAATGTTTTTCATTAATAGTTTTAATACAAATATTAAATTTATCAGGATTTAGAATATATTTTAAACAAATTTGATGTTTGTAATAAACTTACGATAGATTTATGGCTATATAAATGTTTTAAATACTTGAAATATATATAAGTACTTAATATTTAAATATAGTATGTATTATTCTGATATATATTTCAAGTCCTCGTTTCTTAGTTCTACTTATAAAATATGAAAGATATTCAAGAATACGAAAAACATGTACGATATAATATAACTTATCCCTTCGAAAATGATTTAAAAAAAAAACGCAGTTACTGATGCTGGGTCCATTTAATTTACATTGATTAAAGGCACTAATTAATTTCAAGGGCTAAATAAATTTCAAGGACTCAAAATCACTTAAGTCGTAAAATTGAATGAATACTAATTGTAAGTTTATTCAAATAAACAAGGAAGGCCTATATTCGATTGAAGCTATTTTTGATGCCTAAATTTATTTTAATAGAAGAAAATGTATTAAGCGAATGAGAGATATTGTGACTCGGATAAATTTTTCAAATCTCTTGATTGGCTATAGCATAATATTAGTCTGAGATTACCGGAAGTGCTGTTCGCGGAAAGCGGAATGAGCGGGCAGAATCTCGGGTCAATCGCATATATAATAATACATCAATCTTGTTTAATTAATTCCGGGGCGAAGGCTATCCTTTCGTAAGATCGATCGAGCCGCGTTATGGATCGCCGTGAATTTTGCACCGTTGCAATTTTAATCGCGCAAAAATCACGTTACGATCGATAGGGAAACGTATAGTTAAACACGTGAATCCTAGGCTGTCCTGAGAGACTTCGAAGCCGAACCGCCATGTTCGCGGGTCGCGCGCGTCTCGTCGAGGTGTGAGACGAGTTGCGGGAGCGACGATTACGCGCCCCGCGTTCGTCGATGAAAAATCACCGTTGACAAACAGAAGACTCGGTGAGCGCGACGCGATAAGGAGAAGAAGACACTCTCGTTGTGTTCGCGGCAATTGCGCCGCGAGTATCCTAGCCGACGTGATATCGTGCGACGCGCGCTTCGTTTCCCGAAGAGAGGAAGAGAGAAAGAGAGAGAGAGGGAGAGAGAGAG